CCCCCCCCCCCCCCCCCATTTTTTATTTTTTCTTTCTCCTTTTAAAAAAAATTGAGTTATCAACAAAGTTCAAAGGGATGAAATTTGAACTTCACCGTCTATTCGTTAGAAATCAATAACACGGGGACTTAAAGTCAATATATTTGTCTATCAAGTAGACTACAATTTATAGAATGCACACTATGAATTGTAGTACATGTGGCAAGCAAAATGGGGGATGGATATAATAATGTCTTCAATGAGACTGAGGATTGCACTAATTATGAGCCATATGTACAAGATAAATGATATAGAGAAAGAGTGGAGATAAAATATAGTAAAAATTATACGAAGGATGTTTAGCATTTTGGGTTATGTGGCACACTTTATAGTGCAATCTACAACTACATTGGTGTGTTTTTAACCCTCTAATTTTCCAATTAAAATCCTTCTGCTGCCAGTCCTTTTCATTTTGCCCTTATCATCAAATATAATAACAGAAATATCGTGCGTAAAATCAGAATGCTGCAACAAGATGCCTAAGGGATGTTTGGTGAAGCCAACTTATCCCAGCAGATGAATATAAACCCTTTTACACTTCTAGCTATAATATGAAAAATTAGATCTGTGTTTTAAATATTTCTTTTATTCCACTGGAAGCTTGCTTAGATTTTGGTGTAATAAAATGGAAATTTTTGCAGCACGAACAAGAACACATACGATCCACAAACTTTAATTCAATTAAATGTCGGAATGAGATCAAAGAAGGTTGGAAATATCTTCCAAGCCATCAAGTTCATTACAAAGAAAACCAAATGGACAATACTGTGTCCTTATGGAAGCTGTCTGCCCTAATTCTGATTTTAATTGAAATTACTCTATGGTCCCTAAGTTCTTAAGTAATAAAAGAAGATATTTTAAATTCTTAAGTAATAAAAAAGACACCTACTAATAAGAAAATGACATAATAATAAAAAAGAAGTCATTTGACTTCGTCATATCCGTGTCTAATATTTGATTGGTATTTTATCATTCATCCAAAAGAAATAAAAGAAAGCAATTTCACTTCTGAGTAGATCAAAATAAAGCAAATATAATTGAAGAACTAATGGATCTAATATATGATGTTATGCTCATTCATCTCTTTCTCTCTAAATATATATGAAAAACTCAGGCCTCAAACTTCATGAATCAAGATTGGAGCCTTTTTCTCTCTCTGTATCTCTCTCTTTCTCTCTCATGGATCTTGAAACCAAAAGCTTTGAAGGATGGACTATACTATCCTCTATCACACTGCAAGACTTCTTACATGAAAAAAAAGACATATTCTTCTTCAATCCAAACCCTTGATCCTCCCCGCTTGAGCGCGTTGGATTTTGATCATTTTTACTGCTCTTTGTGCACTCTTTATATGCCATAAGAAATGGATCGTCAATCTTCTTAAGCCCTCTCCTTGAAGAACTTCTCACCGGTACTGGTTGAAAAGCACAAGGTGGAAGTGGGATTTTCGTGTCATGATGAATAGAAGCCCTCGAATTTTCCGGCAACTGCGGCGGTGGTGGAGGTGGTGGTGGTGCAAGGGGTTGGGGATCCATCTGGTAATTATCATCTTGTTGCTTCACCTTGCTTACCCCAGGCTTGTTCTCCCAAGAAAAGGGTATATTTCCATGTGAGTATATTTTGTTACTCATTTCTGATATTCCTATGCTCATAAAATGGTTTGGACAATTTATATATATAAGATATTGGGTGGGTCGGGCTTTTTCTTTCTTTCTTTCTTTTTTNAGGTCATTTTGCAAAATCTCCCGGAGAAGAAGAGATCTTGTCGGGTTTTTTTTCTTTTTTTTTTTTTTGGGGGCGGCGGGGGGAGAGGGGGTCATGTACTTTAAACTGTCCAATCGCAAAACTTCCTAAGGTGGTAAAAAAGAATACTACAATATTAGATTATCAAGAATGGGCAACAAATTATTGACTAGAAGACAACAATTTTTTAAGGTGTATACATCATGTAAAGAGTCGAAAAGTATGCAAAGAAGTTAAGAAGAACATGACAAACATGGAATGGCTTGTTGACTTTATTCATTAACACTTGCTTGATTCTAATACAGCCAATAACTATATAACCACTTTCTTTTCTGATTGCTTTTGTCACATATGGAATTTGTAAAATTATATTACAAACAGAATGACTATGTTAAAGGGTTATAAATAACTGCTGAATATGTTTATTTATTTACTTATTAATTACACGATCATGCTATGAAAATAATCATTTAAAATCTAAAAAACATGTGGGTATCGAAAAAAAGATATATATCTTTAACAAAAGTAGAGCCTTAAGTATACTTGAAAACATGTTTATAATAAAAAAGTCGTGAAAAAATATCCCATTTAAGAATGTTCAAGGCATAATCACGAAGGAAGCACCTTCTTAACAAAGATATTTTGTTATTATTTATCAGGTGTATTCGTAATCTTATTTTGTCATATTCAATTAAGCGTATCAAACATAGTTTGTATAAAGGATTTTGAGGTTAAGCAGAGATTCAGCAATTTTGAATAGAAAAGTCAAGTTGGACCGAGTTTACAAAAATATAAATTAATTGCGTAAGAAATGAATTTACACTTATTCTATTATAATTAACTCACAAATTACAGTGAATAAATATTAACAACATTAATTTATACCAAAAAAAAAAAACAAAACCTTTTTTTCATATGTAATTCATAACTATAACATGTTTTCTTACATGAACCCTTAACCATCATTTTATCTGTGACGTTGTATATCTTTTTAAGTAAGACAATCTCAACCAACAAGGAAGGAATTTAACATGCATAATATTTATGATAGTTACTAAACTTCCATTTCGGATATGATTATTCAGCTATATGATTTTACTATCCAAAAATAATAAAAGATCTTATCCCATTGTGGGATTTTAAAATTTTAAATCTTTCAATCCCATTCTGGACTCTAGAGATCCTCCATTTTTGGCATTGTGGACTATTCAAAATCATTTTTAATGAAGTTAGATTGGGATGTTGGACACTTGGATTGAGTTTCATTTTGAATTCGTAAGGTTTTATGTCACCTCTTGTATATGAATTAACGGTGGCATTATGTTTTAGTTTTTTTCTTTCTATTATTATTTGATCATTCTTAAGATAACTCATTTTCATTTTCCTTTTATTTAATATGAATCCTACGCTTTTCTTCTTCAGGGTTGAATTTATAATTAGCTTGTTGAAAATCAGTCGTAGAAGTAGACTTGTCATAATGTTGTGATTGTGTGTAATTTGTGTTGGTATTCATGGTTAATGTTGTTCAAAAGTTTGTCATATATTTTGATCTTAATAACAAACTGAAATGAAAGTGTACTTTGATTTCGAGTTTTGATTATATACTTGATGAATTTTTCAGATCAATAATTGTGGAAGTTAGCCCTGTTTGATAAAGATTAAAATTAAAGTTTAAGCAAATTTTAATAAAAGTTGATGCAATGCAATGTAATGATGAAAATTTGTGGGACCTAAGAAATATGTAGTTAAAATTAATTGTTGACTTTAACTTATATTTTAATCAGATTATTTAGCAGTTCCAAATAGGGGCTTAATAAAGTAATTGCAATCTTAGTTTCATTATTTGATTTTAGTAAATTATAATTGTTAATTTGTTATTGAGCCTTAGTTTGATATTTTTTTGCTTATAAGAGAATCAGTTATGGTGCATTTGATTGCTAACATTTAATTTGTATGGAAAAAAAATAAATTTTAGGGAATTCAATTGTTTAGAACTTATTTGTATGAAAATTATTAATTAAATGTGTTTGATTGATTAATTTTCAATTCAGAAAATATTATACTCGTCCATTTTTTATTTGTGGGTAGATGAGGAGATGTAATAAATAAAAGAGAGAGTGAATTAGTTGAAAAACAAAAACCACACATTCCTGAAGAAAACAATTTCCTTGTTTTTGAGTAAAATATGATCACATGACAAAAAGTCGGAAAATATTTTCCATGAAAAAATTGTCAATCAAACATCCGAAAAATAAGAATTTAGATAGAAAAAAGACATTTTCCATCTCAAATAAAACCAATCAAACATACTCTTATTGTTGTGGTAAAAAAATGATAAACCGGTTAAATGTAAACTTTTGTTTCATAAGAGTTGTATATTTCAAAATTAGCATTTGAGTATTTGGGGTAAAAAAAAGTGTTCAGTTGTTGTGCTTGTATATAATTACTAAAACAGACGTTTATTATAATAATCTCATTAAGTACTTTACTCGGTATTCTAAAAAGTACGCCTAGGAGTGAACGTATAATCTCACACCTTGACAGTGAACGCAAAATTAAGCGGTCAATTGTTGACCACTTAAGACAACTAGGAGTGCCTAGTTCCACTTTAATAAATTTTTTTCCTATTGTTCAAAAGTCTTATTTGAAAGACCTTCAAGTGTTTAAATGATTTATCCATACAAAAATTAAAAATGAAAACACATTAGAAAATTTCAACAAAGCAGTGGTCAAAGGAAAATTGAAAAACAGTAAAGCTCGACTATTCCAAATCCAATCTGTCATCCTCAATGTGTTCAAGTAAGAAATATGAATTTGATGTAGTTGTTGAATAATAATTTGTCTGTGTAAGATTTATACATACACTAGTGTTTCATAGACTATTTTAGAAGTATTTTTATTTTTGAGTTATTTTTTATTGTTTGCTAAGTGCTTAATAGTTATTTTTTTCATCTAAAATAGTCAGCTTTTGCATTTCAAAAATTTGAAAATTATGTAATCGACTAATTATAAAAATTATTAAATTAAAATAGATTTTTTTTAGATGTTTAGTATGTATTATTTTAATTATTAAATAATTTTATAAAGGATTTAAAATTTAAAATAACGTTAAAAATAAAAAAGTATAAGGTTTTTTTACGCTTAGGTTCGTCTTGGCTTATAAAACTTAAAACTTGACCTTCACTCCTAGTTAGCTGTACGCTTCCTAGAACTCTTATTTTACTATTGTAAATTTTATTTTACTTTAATAATAATATGTAATATTATTAAATATTTAAAACAATATATTCATTATTGATATTCTGAAAGGAAGAAATTTAATATTTGTCAAGTCTTAAAATTATCCATATCCCATAAAAATAAGAAAAAAAATAATGATTTTTATGTGAACGATGGATGCGACATTACTATTGTACATAGAATATCAAATGATGTACACAAACAAGATTGAAAATAATTTAATTTTATTGATTATTTAAAATTGGTATTTTAACCGCGAATAATTTGAGAAGTTAAAATCCAATTTTTCTTCTTCTTAAAATATGTTGTTAGATGAGTTAATTGTCTCAATAATCATTAAATTTATGTTTGTGTCTTCGATTACAAATGTCGAGTTTGTTACTCACGGCATGACATCCGTTACATATGGTAACATGGCAAATGAAATGTACAGGTGGCGCCCTGACGTCGCACAACAAATTGTCATGTGCTTTTCAAGACGTCTTTGATTGCTCATTATATTTTTCAAGACGTCTTTAATTGCTCACTATACTTTAAAGTGATCAAATTTTGACCACTAATCTTGTTCAGAAAATTTAAGAATGATGTCTCAAGTATCATTTTCATAAAATAAATAATTTTGCAACATGTTACGAGGGAGTGTTTCAAGTCATTTTGAAATCTACTCAAGTTTTGTTACAATTCTTTCTATATTTGATCTATAATTTACATTAACTACAAAAAAATATTGACAATTCTAATGACTATTTTTAACAGAAATATTTTTGGATGATTTTTTGTGTAACCTCTTTGTTGTTAATGTAGATTATGAACTTTTTGAATGAATGTCATACACATTTCTATTAAAATTAGTCATCAAAATCGTCAACATTTTCTTGTTGTTAATGTTGATTAGAAATCAAATATGGAAAAAAAAAAATACAACAAAACTCAAGTATTTTGCAAAATGTTTTGAAACATTCCCTTGTAACATGTTGCAAAATGATTTTGTTGTATGAAAATGATACTTCGAACAGTATTCCTAAATTTCCAAGATGGTCAACATTATTTTTACAAGTTTAGTTGTCAAAACTCAACAACCTTAAAGTATTGTGAGTGGTAAAATACGTCTTGAAAAGTATAGTGGACAATCAAAATACGTCTTTTGTTCCTAAAAATACGTTTGTTTTGTGACGTCAGGACACCAAATGTGCATTTTGTTTGCCACATCACCAATTCTGTTAAAGTTATATAACAAATGTTATATATGTCTGTAACAAACGTCCAACATTTTAATAAGTTTAGCGGTCAAAATTCGACATCTGAAGCTTTAGTGAGCATCGAAGATATACACAAAAGTTTAGTGATTATTGGGGAAATTAACTCTTGTTGAATAGTACAAATTCTTACATTATCATTTTTATTTTTATTTTTAATTACCAAAACACCTCAAATAATTATGCTCGCTTGAGAAGTAGTAATTGGAATGTAAAAGCGATTTCAAACTAAGCCCGATAAATTTGGCATTAATCCATCTTTTAATATTTTAAATAATTAATATTTAATAAATCATACAATCACTAATATAATCTAATTATTGGATCCGCATGGCCCTTTTTAACAATCATATTCAAAATTATGATTCTAACAATCTTGATATTTATACTTT